TTTTTTTTTTTTTTAAAAAAAGGGGGGGGGGTAATAAATGAGAACAAGAGGCAAGGGAAAAAAATGTCATAGGACTGTCCTGCTACAATGCTGTATATGGTTAGATTTCTAAATTTCTGTGTACAAATATGTAACTGTTTATTTCTATTTAAAAAAATTTTTTTTTAAATTTTTTTCTTCATATTCTGTAGGGACTTAAAGTTTAACATAACAATACTTGATGGAAAATACCTGTTCCATGTTATGCCTAAGATGTTTTATATTCAGACGGATAGTGAGGTTAAGCTCAATTGCCTATGATGTAGGAGAATAACAATAAGCTTCTCTTCTGGAGGGTTAACAACCTAAGTTCACAGACCAAAAACTAGAGACAAAGAAGGGCTGCAAGGAAGGCCAACATTTTGGCTCTAGCCTTTCAAGGTCAGTGAAGACTCAGGACCTAGGAGAACCTGTACTGTAACATCATGTAACTCAGTTGTGCTCCAAATTTTCTGATCAAGATTATGGGACCACAGAGGAAGGTGATCAGTGATGTAGAGTGTGCCTAAGGAGAGTCACATGGAGAGAAAACATTCTCTCAGGCTTTCACAGACAGCAAATTGGTCAAGCAATAGCCATGACTCATCCACATGGCTGACACTGACAAAGGATCTGCAAATTGCAGTACAGGGTTTCAGGATAAATCCTGAGGGGACTTGACTGACATTACCAGATACAAAAGTTACATTTCTTGTTATATAGGTCTTGCTTTATCTTGGTCTTAACCATCCAGCAGAAAACTATAAAAACGAAGTATTAAAAAGTAAAGCCATATTAATACGCTGAGCTGTAAAAGGCTCAAGTCAACAACTTCTGTCTTTTTTTTTTTTTTTTTTCTTTTTTGGTGGAATTGAGGAATCGAGGATTGAACTCAGGCCCTTGCGCTTGCCAGGCAAGCATTTATTTCACTGAACCATCTCCCTGGCCAAGTCAGCAACTTCTGACATTGCCAGTCTTACGGAAAACCCACTACTATTATGGACTACTGGACTATATTGCAATATTTTGCTGAATTCAGGCACCTACAATATTTAAGTGACAATGGAATACCCTTCTCTGACAAAACTAAACGAAAACAGGGGATACAAATAAATGACTCTTTTGTCTTTGTGTGTTCAAAATAGGAGAGATACACAACTGCATTCTCTTGGATCATTGAATAGAGAGATTTGTTCTAATAGTGTTTGTGGACAGGATATCATGTCTGCGTCTTGTGCAGTGAATAACCACTAAGACAACAATATACATTGCATTAATTATTGAAATTGTGCTAGTAATTTCAATGCTAGTTTTGAAAGTATCTCAGTGCTATTTGTTTCTCAATAAAATTATTTTTAAATAAAGTGTTTTGTAAACAAATTCTACCTTTTCAAACGAGCCCTTTAACACAACAGTTAGTGAACACTCACTGTGAAATCCGCCCTTGAGGATCTTGGAGCTTACAGAGCAGAGGCCTTGGGGAGCGTGCCTCGTCCTTGGTGCCCGGGCGCCCACCATGTGGCAGGACCTGGGGCTGGGAGTGGCAGCAGGACTAAGGCTCACTTTGTTCCGAAAGAAGAGTACAGCCTGATGGGGCAGAGACAGACTGTCCATGGGACCTTAAAGCACACTTACCGGGAAGTAGAAGCGCCCCTCGCGCCAGTTCCTGCTTCTTTTAAGTGCTTTCCTTAAAATTTTTTCTGTTTTTTTGTATAAACTTTATAATTGGCTTACTTGGGGTGGGGGCATTTGGTGTTCTCATTGGGATCAAAAGTGAGGCCTGATAACTTTGTGGTGATATCAAGCACTTCTATTTGTAAAAATAAATAAATAAATAAATAAAAATAAAGTTAAAGTCTTTGTTAAAGTCTTTATTCTTAGATTTAAAAAAATCATTTGAAGTAGAATTTTTCCTTTTATTACATCTTCACATGTGTTTACTTATAAGTATTAAAAAGGGCCAGTGTGATAACTCAGCCTACTGAAGCACCTGCTTGGGCAAGCTTAGGCAAGTGCAGGCACCACAGTGTGATCCCGGCAACACATGCCACGCCAGCCCCCAGAGTCCAGGTGTGGTGGCGCACGCCTGTAATCCCAGCACTGGGGAGGCTGACAGCAGGAGGATCTCCATGAGTCTGAGCTGTATGTGAGACTCCGCAACAACCAAAAATACATTTGAAACAAAAAGTATTAAAGGGTTGGGTATTACAATCAGAAAATATTGAGGACAGGATAGCTTCAGATGTCCCTTAGGCAGAGGCGTTTCACATGGCACCTCCGGCATCCATCGCACTCGGGCTCGCCCATCAAGCTGCCCGTTACAGGGGTCTCATCTGTGCAGCCTCGCTCGGCAGCAAGGCTCCATCGCGCAGACTGCTGCGCTGTTTGAAAATGGCATTGCTGTGCTGTGTGACCAGCATAACTTTCTTTGATAATAGTATTGTTGCTAAAGCCATTCAGTGTCTCCTGGTAAACTTCATCACTCGGAGTAAGTGCCTTCCTTGAATTACACAAGCATTAACAAAAGCATGTGAAGCGCTGGAAAGCTGGAGAGCGTCCTTTGGACACACTGTCAGGCCAGTAGCGGGCTCTGAAGACAGCCCGCAAGCCCACATCACTCTGAAGGGGGGGAAGGTTTCCACTTAGGAGGAGACTTGAAGTGTCATTGGGAATTCAGCTTTAGAGCACCAGAGCGGTTCATGCATGGGGATGCAAGGAAAGGTGCTAGGTAGTATAACTTGTAACTCTGTATAGAGAGCCATTAGATGGCTTGGAAGAGATGGTGCACGAGATGATACACTGTTTCTCTAACAAAGTGATTTTTACCTTGGATTCATAAATAACTTCTCATAGGTGATTTTATACATGCCCATTTTGTGGTTCATACTTTGTTTAGCCTAATCCCATAGAGCATTTGACAAAGAAAATTAGTATTCTGTGTATTCTGATGCCAATTAGTAAAACAATATTCTAAACTTTTAGATGGAAAACAAATTGTTAATTAACTTCCATCTAATAACAACATACAGCAGTCTTAGAGTCCAGCCAGCCTTGAGCACAGGCTTATCAAGTCCCCTGGCGCAGTGCGGGAATCTGACCAAGCCCAAGCTCCCAGAGTTTTAGTGGTATTTGTGATGGAATAAAAGGTGTATATTGAAATGTCTTACACCCAAATTTCTACCCAGTATGCATCTTTTTTTTTTAACTGGGAAAAAATATGTATATTTAGAATTAGCCAGCTGGACTCAGTTTAGATGACCCCAGTTTTGTTGGCAACATCCAGCGCACCATAATCAGGAGCCAGCTGAACGTGCCTTCTTCGCTCCATCGGGCCCGACCGGGGCACTGACCTTGGCAGCACTGGTGCCGCAGAGGAGCTGCTGCTGCTGCTGCTGCTTTTTGTTTTTGCAGTACCAGGGATAGAACTCAGGACCTTACGCTTGCCAAGCAGGCACGTATGCTGCTGAGCTGTATTCTTGGCCTCCATAGAGCTTCTTTACAGCTTGCCTGATTTGGTGCTTATTGGCTTTGATAGCCGCAATGAACACGAGTGTGTTGTTGTCCTCGATCTTTTTCGTGGCTGACTCTGTGGTCGGGGGAACTTGATGATGGCAGAGTGGTCAAGCTTGTTTCTCCTGGGGGTGCTCTTCCGGGGGTCTTTGGGAGCCGCAGCGTCTTGGGACGGCGGAAGGTGGGTGACGTTCGTATCGTCCTCTTTTTGTGGCTGTGGATGCCTTTCAACCCAGCCTTCTTGGCCTTCAGAGCTCTTGCTTTGGGTTCAGCTTTGGGAGAACAGGGGCTTCCTCCTTCGTCTTTGGCGCCATCTTCTGCCCAGTATACATCTTAATGGGAAAGATGTGAAGGAATTTTTCTTTTGTTAATTGAAGATGAGATTTTTCCATGTATCTGTGCCCCTTGGCAAAATCAATTATTTCATCAATTCATTGTTTCTTGTTTTCTTTCCATTTTATTATTTTTTAAAATTTTTCCTCACCATCAAGTCCCTTGATTATGGCAAGTACTTAGTAAATGAATCCCTTTAAAAAGCATTAAACATTTAAAATGTTCAGTTCTGGGGCCATAACCTTAAGAACAATATGCTGTAGGGATCGCAAAGCTCGGAGGGGAGTCCACACACGTTCGTTTACGGTGGTTATATGAACGTTGAATGTAATTTTGCCCTTTGGTGTAGGCCTGGTAGGAACACAGGTGAAGTGCAGGCGGGTGCTCTCGCTGGGGGTCCCAGTAGTTGTGAAGATCTGTGGCCTCCAGCAGGTGCACCATGTGCCTCTGGAAGTGGCCCGGCCCCTGTGTGGCAGGGAGACCTGAGCTGAGCACCCAAGAGGCCACTTGAAGACACGTGGGCATTCCGAGCGGGCTGTGAAGGAGGCCACAGCAGCTGCATTTTATGCTTATTTTTTTTTATTTGAGAACGGGTACAGCTCTGTAGTTCAGGCTGGCCTTGAACTCACAGTGACCCTCCTACAGTGGCTTCCTATGTGCTGGGATTCTAAGTGTGTGCCACCACGCCTGGCACACACTGCATTTGCATAAGTGGCTTGGTGACTGCATGGTCCCGGCCCTGCGCAGCTGTGTGGTGTGGAGGGAGCGAGCTTCGGCGTGGCTGGGCTTGGGCTCTGAGCTGTGGCAGTAGGCACCTTCAGTGGTCACGGTGGGCGGGGTGCAGAGGCACAGGTCAGTGCGGAGCCCCACAGTGCTGGGGTCTCCCTGCTTCCATCTGGCCAGCCCCCTGAGCGGCTGGTGAGCGGCAGAGGGTGCTCTGCTCCTAGCGTGTTAAGTTTCTTTCCAGGCAAGGGAAATCAGAGTAGCGTGAAAAAGCGTGTGGGGCCACGTGTTCCCTGCGGGTTGCTCTCGGGCAGAGAGGCCCTGGCAAGGGCAGGCAAGGGCGCCAGGCCATGGGCCTGGGTCCTCATGTGTGTCTGGCATCGGCAAGCCTGGGATCAGGGGGCAGGGTCGCCAGCCATACCTGTGAGAGTGAGAGCCAGACCATAGGGAGAGGTGGGCACTGAGAGAGTCGGTTTGTAAGAGGTGGGTCCCCCGGTGCCCGATCAGCCAGAGCAGTGCCATCTTGGCCTCACCTGGCAGCACTGGTGAAAGTGATGCCAGCCTGTGCCATGAGGGTGAGGCTGTGGTGTGGGTGCTCTGGCCAGCCCCGTTTCTGCACTGTGGAGGCTGCAGTGGGTACTTTCCTCTGGGAGCTATTTCCCTAGGCTCTGGGCAGCCCACAGTTCTCTGTACTGCAGGAGGGCAAGTGTGCTCGCCAAAGGTATCCCGAAACCATCTTGAGGGTAAGGCGTGCCCAGGGCAAGTGGGTGGAGCATGTGTGCAGGCTTCTCATACCCAGAGTCCTCGCCCTGCCCACACGGTGTCCCAGCTGTTGATGTCAGGACCATGCAGTGGTTTGGGGTAGGACTTACATCTTTTTGCTTCATTTTGGTACTGGAAGGTTGAACTCAGGGCTTCACCTGGGCCACATGCCAGACAGACAGGGTCATGCTAAGTGGCTGAGTTGCCTAGGCTGGGCTGCAGCTTGCCATCCTCCTGGCTCAGCCTCCAGAGTGCTGGTATTACAGGAGGGCACCATCACGCATGGCTAGGATTTACATCATTTGGGCTTTAACGTTTATAATGATACATATCCATCATGTATCATACATCAAAATAGCATCACATCTCTTGGGTGTCTCACCACTGTAGTATCTTATTATTTCTTCTTAAAACTTTTATCTAAAAACAAAATTTCATAATCAAATAATAAGACAGCAATAGTGGGCTGGCGAGATGGCTCAGTGGTCTAAAGCACCTACTTGAAACAAGCTTGGCAAAGCACAGGGACCGCGGTTCAATCCCCAGCACCACATGCCAGCCAGCCCCGCCCCCTGGTGGGCTGAGCTGGCCACACACACACATACGATAAATAAATGTAATAAATAAAAAAAAAATATTTAAAAAAAAAAGACAGCAATAGTTCTTACACTGCATATCATTATCTTCAAACTAGAGTATAAGACATAAATCAAAAAGATTTTTATAAAAAAGAAACATTAAAGGAAGAAACATGACACAACTTACTTTTCAGTGCACTAAGATAGTAGTATAAATGAGACCAATTAACATATATATGGAAATATTTTTAAAATGATGAAGTGGGTGTTTTGGGAAATTATTTGAACTTCTCTGTACTTCTTATTTTTCTCTTCTATTTTGCTCTTTATTTGTGTGAGTGCATAAATATGTACATTTTGTGTGTTTCTCATCTAAGAAGCCATGCAGTGTTCCATCTTCGTCGTTCCTAGTGTGCCCTTTGGGCAGCTCAGTACTCCAGGTGTAGGACTGCAGTCTCCTTGTGCGCTTACCTGCTGATCAGCAGGTGCCCGTTTCCGAGACGGAGCGTTGCTCGTTGTGCTGTTGGCAACCCAGTAGCGCACGCACCTCTGCGGTGTGAGGGTTTCGCTCTTCAGGGACCGTGCCCGGGGGGAGGAGCAGGGGCTCGGGTGGGGTTCTCCCGCGGGCCACACGACACTCACCGTCTGGCTGAGTCATGGTTGCTCCTTCACTTGCTGCAGGAACTCGTGATTCTTCCCAGGTTTTGGCATCATAAGGTGCTCTGATGTACAGGGAACCCAAAGGCTTGTGCTTCCTGTCCCCTGCTCGTCACACTGTGCAGCTGCTGCTGCTACCTGCAGGCTTGGTGTCCACACGCAGCAGGCGGTCCGGCAGCACCACCTGGTCTGTCTTCTGGTTCAGTGTGACCCCATCTAGAAGGACAATCGTGGAGCTTCAGCTACTGCTGCAGGCATCCGCCTGTCTGTCCCGTCCCTCCCGCCCAACACACATGCCAAGGATCCCCGGTGTCAGGTAGCTGGAAGCACTCAGGACAGTCTGTATGAGTTCCTGTGAAACGTTATGTACATGTGGTTTTTACATCCTTGCTACTGATACCAGACTCAGATCCCTGACTATGCTTTGGTCTTTCCAGGGGCCAGACCCCAAGCCACAGATTTTAAGGGGCCGCTGGCCTCGGTTTCTCCTTACCATGCAGATCTCTTCCTCACTTCACAAGTCCCCGGCTCTAGGAGCTGGAGAGTCGGAAGTGAGGATGAAGCCCAAGCACGTGGTTCACTGTATCGCAGCTGCTCTGAGCACCCCATGCAGGTGGTTAATGTGCACCTGTGTTCAGCATCTTAGGTAAGGACCTGCACGGCACAACTGCAGGTCCTTCGGCGAGAGGCTGTTAACTGCGTAAGAAACCCCGGGTTGTCCTCGGGTGGCTGCACCCCTCTGCCTTCCCAGCAGCAGTGGGGAGGAGCCCTCGGCACCGCACCTCCCTCCTCGGCAGTCTGGACTTGGGCTGTCCTCACATGTGAATAGAGGCCGGCATCTTGCTTTCGCCTTTGCAGCTCAGGGACCTAATGACAGTGGCAGAGGGCCTTCCATACACTTAGTGCTGTCTGTGAAGGTTTGTTGGCGAGATACTTTTTCAGATCCTCACCCAGTTTTTAAAAAATTTTACTTATTTGTCTTATTTTTTAGAGGGGTACTGGGAGTCAAACCCAGAGCCTTGCACTTGCAAGGCGGGCTCTCTGCCCTTGAGCTACACCCCTGCTCTTCCTTACCCATTTTAACTGGTTATCTATTGTTGAGCTTTTGAGAATTCTTTGTGTAGTTTAGGTAACAGATTTTGTATTCGCAGTGTTGCCGCATCTTTCACCGAGGAGATGCTCCTCACTCCAGGGAAGTGTGGCTGACCGGGCGTCTCTTGCGTCGGTCCTGGCTCTGGGCTGCACCTGGGAAGTTACCGCCACACACAGGTCGCCCAGGCTCCTGGTGTGCGCGTCTTCCTAAGGAATGTTGTAGGCTTTTGCTGACCGTTAGGACTAGGGTCCATTTGGAGTTGATTTGTGTGAGGAGTGTAAGGTCTGTGTCATTTATTTTTTATACTTGAGTGTCAATCTCCAGCACTAGAAACTAGAAAAGGCACCATTCCATTTCCATTCCACTGCACTGTGTTTATTGGATTCAATATTAGCTCAAAATTACACTGTGAAGAACTTCATCATTAGTTTTTATTTCTGTAGACTTTTACTTGTAGTGAATACATGCAGCATGCAGTTTCCCATTTATATTTCTGAGTACATGTTTTTTGGGTTTTTTTTTTTTTTGGCAGAACCGGGGATTGAACGCAGATCCCTGCGTTTGCCAGTCAAGTGCTTATCCTACTGAGCCATCTCCCCGGCCCCTGAGTACATGTTTAAGCCAAATAATTGCTGTTTCCTTAAGCCTCTTCTGTGGCCTAGCAACTTTCTCTCTCTCCTGACTTTAACGGTCCTGCCCCTCTTGCTCCCACAGCCGAAGTTCCAAGGTGCCTCCAGGCAGGCCCCCAGTGTGGAGCCAGCGGCCCAGCCCCCGACCGAGGGCCTGGAGCAGAAGCTCGCCTCTACGGAGAAGGAGGTCTCGCAGCTCAATGACTTTCTCATGCAGAGAGTCAGCCAGTTTGGTGAGGAGAAGAGGAAGCTGGAGGAGAAGGTAAGTGTTTTGCTAGTCACGGTGGGTCAGCAGCACTCCCTGGGGAGGAAAGGCTGCCCTGTCCTGTATCAGGCTCACAATTACACCTCCCAGCTGATCCTGTGCATCATCTGTGAAGCCCTGAAGGTGCTCTCCAGGGATAGAAGTGTCTGTGTCACCCTTTCTGGCTGAAAGCCACTTGCCCCCACCAATGGCCATTTCCTCATTGGATTCGTCATCCGGTGTTTTGGTCATGTCCCCACAAAGCACTGGAAATTAAGTAGCCGTTGGTCTCTAAGCATGTTAGTGAATTATTAAGCTGGGGAATCTAGTTTGGGGTGAGAAGCAAAAGCCAAATGCATGCACAACCCACTGTTACTAAAATTGTTTTTCCTTTTCTATACTCAGTCCTCACGGCAGCATCGTTAAAGATGGAGGACGTTTGTGTCCCTAGTTTATTGAAGAGGTGCAGATCCTTGGTGACTCGGTGGTAGAAACGATTGTGGACTTGTCTGTTGTGAACACCTACCTGATGATTTTGTGAGGTCAGCCTTCCATTCATGTAACCCTGGAGCAGGTCGCCCTGATTTCTGCAGTTTGACAGTGTTGGTACCTGACCGGGGGGGGGGGGGGAGGTCTGTGTGTATATGCATATGCACACCTGTGACTTGAGTTTGTATCTTCAGAAGTGACAAGTTGTATGTACTTTTTTTTTGGTCTACTATCAGAAGTGTTTTATTTTGGATAGCTTTCAAGTGCCATGAAGACCTTCTTGTCCTTCGTGTATTTTGGGCACTTCATGCAGTGTGTATAACCCCAGAGAGCCAGGAGACGCTCATTGGTCACGCGTGGGAGAAGTTAAGGCTTGCTTGAGACTTCTTCATGAAAGCATGTAACGCAATTGTGATGCTCCAGCGGATGAAGGGCTTAAATAAGCTTTCTGTGTTTAAAGTTTTCTCATTGTTCTTCTAGGAGTCCAGTGCTAACTGAAATCTGTTTATGTACTTACTGCCTAGTTGACAGCCACTTGGATATCTCATGGGTACTTCAGATTTTTCATGTCAAAACGCTGTTGTTTTTTGCTTTGGAGGTTTTCGCTTTCTGTGCTGGGAGTCAAAGCCAGGGCCCTGCACCCGGCAGACAAGCACTGCGCCCTGCTCCACGAAACAGCACTGAGCCTTCTGACCGCTCTCCCTCCCCCGCACAACAGTACATTTTCCCTCAGTGTTCTCAGCCAGCTGTGGTGTGGGAAACCTTCCCGTCTCCCCAGCCGCTCCCTCACACTGCAGGTGCGACGAAGCCCCTCCCCGCAGCCCCTGCGTCAGCCCCAGCACCACGGCCTGTGCCCTCGGTGTCAGCTGGCGCGTGAGGGCACTCCTTCCATCTACCTTAATGTTCTCCACGGCCACCTGTGTTGTGAAAAATGGAGATTACCCTCTTTTTAAAGGTGGAGTAGTATTCCACTGTGTGTGTATCCTGTTCTTAGTTGATGACGGTTTTCTTCTAGGACCTTGGATGTGTCACACCACTTTCTCCTCACGTGCAAATTGTTTAGTGAGAAATATGATTGTATGTGATGAGTCACTTTTTCTTGATATTTTCAAAATTCCCGTCACTGACTTTTACAATGCTTCTACATATGGATTCTTCCGGTTCAACCTAGCAGAGGGCTTTCAGGTCTTGGGGTCTGCGTGTCCGTGTCCCACTCCAGCTGTGAGGACACTGTAGCCATTGCTTCACGCTTTCCTGCTAGCTCTTCTGTGTCGGGATGCCCGTGGGCGTACGTGCTACTTGGCTCAGTGTTGTCCGTGAGCCCCTGAACTCTCTGAATTTTTGTGTCCTTTGTTCAGGGTTCCTTTGAGCTTGCTCGTCCTTCTTCCGTGTTAATGAATTGAGTGCAGTCATTCTATTCTTGTGCTTCTGAGCTTTCTGTGTAATATTTCTGGTATTTTCTTTGTTTTGAAATTCATCATCTGTCCCTACATTGTTTTCCTGTGTTTTTGAAGTTACTTTAATAAAAGATATTATTATGCATTAGACTAAAATAAGTTAGGCAAAGCATGAAAGAAACTAGACCATGGGCAGATGTTAGCTTTAATAAATTTGGAAGACTAATCCACTATACTGCTAATTCCTGCCATTTATTTTCCCTGATGAACATGGAAAAGAAATCTGTGAAAATATTTTAGACCCTAAGGACTTCAGATGTTGGGGAGGTATAAAATTTAAGATAAATATGAGCCTGGTACATTGCAGGCAGTAGTTTGTATACTTTTTGGTTTTTATGATCTTAACTATGTGAGATCTTTGAATATGAGACATGAAGTCTAAATGTGGGGAGCGAAGAGGCTGGACAGGGAAGGGGGCAAGGGGACAGAATAAGAGCTAAGGTATGTTGAATGCATGTGCCAACTCCTCGCAAGGAATGGGACCAGAGTGTACTGCAAACATACTAATAAGATTAAATTAAATATACTATATTTCAGGTGGTAAAGTTAAAAAAAAACTATGTGAAACATGAGGCTCAGCCCATACAGATCAGAACTTACTGGCCTCGTGTCCGGTGCGTGTGTGTAGCAGACTTGTGTGATCACAAGGTGGGCGTGTGCTGCAGACTCCTTCCTGCGGCCCGTGCGCTGGCAGTGCTCCGTGGGAGCGCCCGTGGGGCTCGTCCCTGTGCCCTGGGGACGAGCAGGCTTCCCATACATAGTCTCCTGGCTGCCTGTGCCACTGCGTGCGTGAAGAGCACTTCCTTTGCAGGTTGCTGGTGGTAGTTTTAATTTCTTATAGGTGTCCTTTCTTGCTCTACCTAAAGCATTTGGGTATTGGGGCCGGCAGAATAGCTCAGTGGTCTGAAGTGCCTGCTTAGGCAAGTGCACAAGGACCGTGGTTCGGTCCTTGGCACTACATGCTGCACCAGCCCCACCCCCAGGGTGGACTGAGCTAGCCACATACACACAGCATTTGGGTCTAGAGTTGTAGGAAATAAGAAATGGGAATAATTCTCCAGCAATCAGTACTTTGCCAGTTTTTAAACTATACCAGTGGCTCTGTTGTGTTACCCAGTAACTTTTTTTGGATTATTATTATTTTTTTTTTTAATCTTTTGAGACAGGATTTTACTATCCAGGTTAGGCTGGCCTTGAACTCACTTTGTATCCCAGGCTGGCCTTGAATGCATAGTAATCTTCCTGCCTCAGCCTCTGGAGTGCTGGGATTACAACTCGTACCCCTGCATCTGGCACCTAGTAACTTTTTTTTGTTGCCAGATTATAGCATTTTAAGAATCCCTTAGACTCAGTACGTAGTTTCAGCATGAACACATTGCTATGAAAATGACCAGGCTCTGCGCAGCCTCGGCGCTTGAGTGTGGGCGGTGAAAACTGCATTACTGCTGCAACCTGGCAGCTTCCAGTTTCGGGTAAGAGCAGAACAGATCACCCATTCTTGACTCTAGTACTGTAAAAATTTGACGGAAGTGTGAGTCTGAGGATGAAGTAGTCTCGCGTTAGAGGTGGTCTTCACTGTTCCCTGGAGCTTGGCTAAACTCACTGATGCCCAGGACTGCAGCACTGGTTTGTTCTTGTTGTTCAGTGACTCAACACTGCTGGCCACTCATGACCCCTTTTCTTTAGCTGAAAACCAGAGATAGATACATCAGCAGTCTGAAGAAGAAATGCCAGAAGGAGTCTGAACAAAACAAAGAAAAGCAGAGGAGAATCGAGACCCTGGAGAAGTACCTGGCAGATCTCCCCACCCTGGATGACGTGCAGAGCCAAAGCCTGCAGGTACTGTGGGACGTGGCACCCGCATCCTGGGGCCAGCTCCTCTCCATGTTGTCCCGCAGGGGCTGGCTCATGGTAAATTTGGCAGGTTCTTTCATCACCATTAGGGTTAACCTACGTCAGGACCTGGCTCCTCTAAGCCGAAGCAAGCCCTGCCTGATTAGCACATGCTCACTGTCCTGTGGGAACTGTGGCGGCTCCCTGGCTCTGGAAGGTAGTTTCTGAAGCAGTCTGATTGTGCTGCCTACATGCATGCACCTCAGTCCCAGGTGTCTCCGGCGTGCAGAGACCCAGGACTCTTCTTGACCTCGGTTGTGTATCTGAGGGACTCTCATTCTTCTTGGCCTTTCATCAGTTCTTCTTATGCGTTGGTATAAGAAATGACCTCTGATCACTCTTCTGACTTTTGTTTTTTCTCCTGACAATACCTCACCCAAAGACTTGCCACCAAATCTGCCCAGATCTGGCCTCTTAGTTATAAATCCATTAAACCCCTTCAGTTTTCTCAAAGGCTTTCTGGCCCTTGACTTTCCGCCTCAGCACTGTGGCCTGCAGCGGGAGACAAGTGTTGCATGAGAGGTCTGCCCTGTGCATTGCGTCAGGCCCTCCCAGTGGTAATGATACCACCTTCCCCTGTCCGCTCCAACTGTGAGCAGTCTTCCCACCTGTTCTCTGGGGAAACTAGCCAGTTGAGACTCATTGCTCTCATTTAGGGAGTGCCTTTATTTTGCATACTTTAAAATTTGTGTGCCATCCTTTTACTTTACATTAACTTAATTTATAAGTTGTAAAGCCAAGAGAGGTTAAAATCAGAAAATAGGGATCACAGTGAAAGCATGCATGGGCAGGAACAAGACAGCAACATAGACTTGAGCACACAGAGTCGTACCACCCTGCGGATACGGCCAAACGTGTTTGTAATAGCAGTTGCAAGTGGGAGTCAGGGCAGGTTCCCAGGGGTGGGTCTGGAGAAACACAGGTGCTGTATGTGTGCAATGCATACTGTTGTGGTGTGCATATGTGAGGGGACACCATGCAGCCTTAAGCATGAATGTGGGCTCATGCCACAGCCTGGTTTAAGGTAGAGGATAATTTGAGTTTAGCAATGACAATACTGTAGGATTCTGCTTCTATGGGGCCCAAAAGCAGTCAGTTAGAGACAAGAAGTTGACTGGTGGTTGCCAGGAAATGGATGAAGGATGAGATGGGTAAAGATTGTCACCTGGGTAGACATTCGCTTATGCAGGGTGAGTTTTGGTTGACATCCGCGTGAATGGACTCGGCACCACTGAACTGTGCACTTAAAATGGCTGAGATGCTAAATTTAATGTATGCTTTATTACAGTTTTTAAAACACAAAGGAGACTGTTAACCTTTTCTTTCTAGAAATTTCTAACCTCACTCTTCATAATCTCATCCTCCCAACTCTCTTGCACAGAAAAAAAGAAGTGTTAAGTACTTTAATTGAGATGAAGGTAGCGTGCTGTTAGTAATGAATTGTTAACCCCTGAGGACAGGAGTGAGTCCTAAGAGAGACATTTAGTTCTGTGTGTGTTTGAACTGCAAAACATTTCTCCTCAGCTTCAGGTTCTAGAAGAAAAGAACAAAAGCTTGCAGGAGGCTTTGATGGATACAGAAAAAAAGCTGGAAGAGGTAAAGAAACACTGTCAAGACAAAGAGGCGCAGTTAGTGTGCCAGAAAAAGAAGGAAAAGGAGCTAGTGACTTCCATTCAGAGGTAAGACTTTCAGAGTCCTTTTACCTATTCTTGTATTTTTCCAAGCATTTTATTTAAAATGGACAAATTTCTATTTATTACCTTATTATTTTTCTTAAAGATGTACTATTAAGAATCAGGAGTATAATTTCATTGAAACAATGGTGATGTACTCTGAGGCAACATGCAAACATCTTTCCAGAGGCTTTAGATGAGAATAGTAAAAATGGCAGTTGAAGACTGCACATTAATGAAAACCCTTTATCGGATGGCCTTGTCAGAGAACCTCTTAAGTAGCAGAAGAAGGGGACAGCAGGGTACTGCCCTTCAGCATTCAGGCTGTGTCCCAGGAAGCTGTGGCCCAAGGGCCTGGCGGCCTCACCGGGTGCCTGAGCCTCCCACGCTGCTGCTGCACACGGCCCTCTGGGTTTGTGCAGTTGGGAACACGGTGGGCAGGGTGCGTGGTGTATTTCGGGCGTGTGGGCAAGCCTGGATTCCTGAGGAATCTGAGACATACATAGACTTGTTTTGAGGGGGCAAAGCTTAACCCTTGAGGCTGTTGACTATAAATAGATGAAACAATTCTAAGATTTCAAAGCACAAAAACTAAACTTAAGAAATTCAGTCTTCAGATTAGGAAAAAAATTGCCAGCTACTCCTTGGATGAAGGAATGATATCTAGCATATATGAACCACCCAAAAAATTAGACACCCTCCCCCAAATAAAAGATCCAATAAGAAATGGGCAACTGAAATGAATATACTCTTCTCAGAAGTACAAATGGCCAGAAAACAGATGAAAAAATGTTCAACATCGCTGGCCACTAGAAGAATAAAACACCACCAATTTCATTTCACTCCGGAAGGTGTGGTGGTCATCAAGACCTCAGACAGTATCCATGCTGGCGGTGTGGGGGACCAAGGAAGCCCTCTGCACTACTGGCGGAAGTATAAGTGGTATAATGTCTGAAAATCAGTGTAGAGATTCCTTGGAAAAGTAAAACTAGAAACCTCGCTTGACCCGGCTATTGCCCTTACAGGTGTCTTCCCAAGAGTCCACGACGTCGTATTCCAGCGCGATGCGTGTGTGCCTGTGCGAGGCAGCCAGTAGTTAGGTCTAGGCCCACCGGTAGAGGAGAGGACCGAGAACATGAGGGAGTGGACAGCGGGGCGTGCGCTGCTGTGATGCCAAGAGGGATGTGTGTTTCTTTTTGTAGAAAAGCAAGTGCGCTTTGCAATCATAATGCCTAGTGACATAAATCAGACATGCAAGCTTAAATGTCACTTTCTCTTGTGTAATAAGGCCAAAGCATAAATAAAGAGCAAATCAAGGATAGAAAATAGGGAACGGAGGGAGCTCTATCACAAATGGGAAGAGTGTCTGGAGACCGAGGGCCTCGGGAGGGGAGGGGAGGGGAGGGGATAGCAGGCGTGTGTGCGGTGCGCAGCTCCTGCGACGGGCGCGGTCGTTGCCCTGCACACAGGTCCAGTAACAGAAGTAAATGAAATGCTCTGTGTTTATGCTGCTTTTAAATCCGTCTGATTTCCTACAAATACTGCTCTGCTCCTACCTGCAAAGTCTTAAATATACTTGGTGTATACCTTTTTTAAAATTATTTTTTGGGGGCTGGAGAGATGGCTCAGTGGTCTAAAGCACCTACTTAGAACAAGCTTGGCAAGGCAACAGGGACCGCGGTTCAATCCCCCAGCACCACATGCCAGCCGGCCCCGCCCCCTGGTGGGCTGAGCTGGCCACACACACACCACACACTCTCTCTCTCTCTCTCTCTCTCTCTCAATAAATAAAAAAAATAAAAATAAAAAAAAATAAAAAAATAAAATTATTTTTTGTTGCCAAAAAACTCTCATTTCCAGGATAATTAAGTTGGGGCTGGGGATACAGCTCAGTGGTACAGCGCTTGCCTAGTAAGTGCAAGGTCCCGAGTTTGATTACTGGCACCAAAAAAGGAGGAGGAGAACAAGAAAATAGGACAGTGCAGTCCTCAGCTGCCTGTTCACTTCCAAAGAGTCACATGCTTGTATTCTGCCTTCGTATGTATCTTCTTCTAATTCTTTAGTTTCCTCTTTGCCACTGCACGTCTTCTGCCTTTTCTTTGGTCTCAGAACAGCTTCCTGATCTTCAGGAGCTCAGCCATGGCTTCTCCTTTCACCTTCACTGAAAAAAAAAGTGCCTGTGTGTCTGTCCTGTCCTGTTGGTGCTGTCGTCCTAGCCCGCGCCGCGCAGCTGAGTGCATTCTGTTCCACTGCGTGCTTTCACTTGTATATATGTTCTTGTACCTTCTACTTAGACTTGGCCTTTTATTAGGCTTTTGGAGCATACTGGGTCTGGAAGTCTTGACTTGGAAAGATTTGGTGTGGTCAGTTTCAGAAAACATTGCCACTTTTGGTCTGGTCTTAATACAGTCTGAGACAGCGTCATTCTAGATCTTTCTCTGACTTTCACTTGGAGACACAAAGCCCGAGAAGTGCATGTGTCATTCTTCGGCACCTTTTGGCTGCATGTTGCTGCTCTGGTGGTTCGGGTATAGTTTTTCTTTCTCAGAACTTCAAATGTATTTGTGACTAGGAACTGTATCATTTTTATGTTTTATGTATTTCTAAGCTTCTTGCTTTGTGAATTCTTTAGTATATTTGGGATTTATAAATTAAGGAAAGTATTCCACCAGAAGTGCCAGTAACAGTGTGACGGCTCCTCCGCTGCTGGAAAGGTGTGTGCGAGCACGTGGGCATGAGCGTGTGGGGGCGGGTCTGTGTCGGCCTCACCACATGTTTCTCGGTGCATTTTATCTCTTGAAATGTCTTGAAATTCTGCACGTGTTTGGAAGGTAGTGTCTTGACACTGAACTGAGAAGTAACTTACTCTGAAATGGAATTATTTTTCACTTACAGATTAAGAAAGCAAATGCTTTATGATGGCTAGCAATACATAAAAGTATCTCCAGTGCCCTTGTTCATGACAGATCCAAAGCTCGAATTGTACCCAGGATTATTAGCTAAAGAGCTAGTGAATATGACATTTATTTTGGAAAAGAGAGAAAGCTTCATGTAGCTTTAATCATTGGAAAAAGAAAATATCAAATGCACTTACAGGATGCCACTTAGTACCCTGCAACTCTTGAGTATGCTAACGTAGAGCTATCTGTGGATTTCGTGGGGTTTGGTCCTTATTAGTGATAAGACTTCTTTTAATCTGATGGTACTATTGTTTGCTCTCAGAGTTAGTACTCCTCTCCTTTCTTTCTTTACGTTTACGGTGCCAGAGAGTTCCTTCTGTTGGGTGTCTCTGCCATGGGTACAGGACAAACCGCTAGGCCATGCTGTAGACACCGTGGAGTCCTGCTCTCACCACTGAAGAGGAAGGGTTACTCTGTGGGCATAGGTAACCTCTGTCATTCCAGGGACGCTTGTGCTGAGCCTCGAATGAAAGGCCAGCGACATGTGCCCATATTCCTAGTCCATCCTAGAGAGGGGACAGTGGGAGGCTAAGATGGAGCTCGGGTCTTGGGATGAAGACCTCACCTGGGCGAGAGCTGTCCCAGGCTAGGCAGCTCTGGCCTCAGCCTTGCTGTTTGTAAGGGTGTGAGCAGCTCCAGAGAATAGTGGGCCCGGCTGTCTTGGGTAAAATGTGGTTCAGCTTACCAGGGTGCTTCCTGTGGGTCTTGATCAAAAAATATTCCAAGAGAGAGCATCATTGCTTTCATGTCATCAACCCAGATCAGTAAATGGAGCTGCTTTTCCTCATACAATCTTTCTAAAACAGTTTGCAGCAAAAAGTAGAAAGATGCCTTGAAGATGGAATCCGCCTTCCCATGTTAGATGCAAAACAGCTTCAGAGTGAAAATGATGACCTCCGAGAACAAAGCGAGGCGGCGGGCAAGGTGAGCGCGTGCTGGGCAGCGGAGAGAGTGAGGGCCGCACGGGCGCCGCGCCCACCTGCCTGCCAACTTCCGGTCTTGCTCGTGTGCAGTAGCTTTGAAATTTTTAATTTGAATGTTTTTATCTGGAAAGAAAACAGCATTTAAGCAAGTTGATATAAATTTAAATAAAAGGATATATTTTATAAATCAGTCTGTCAAAAATTGTACAAAGAAAAGTTTTGACATGAGAGATTTTTCCAGTTTTTTATGCGTGATCTGAATCATGTTGCTATTTCCAGGATACTTACTATGAAAATCTTTGTAAAATAAAAAGAGCTTTTAAAGATATATTTGCAGTTCTACATACTTACTTTTTTTCTTGAAATATTGGTACTTTTAGAAAGCAATGGGGAAGAATGAGGTGGTTCCAGCTAATTTCTTTCCTTGTTTTAGATAATAAGCAGACAACAAGATGAACTTAACAAGATGTCTTCAGAACTGCAGGTAAGAAATATTTCATCCTTATTTTCATTCAGTGATGAGTGGATTTACCGCTTAAGTAATATAGAGGTATTAAAGCATGTTTGTGTAAAAACAGTGGCACTCGAGGTGAAATTACAAAATCTTTACGATTAATCTCTCAGTTTTCAAGGAATTCTGTTTATGCAATAAATTCTACAGAAAGTTGTGAGGATTGTTCTCGCTTCTTCGCGTCACCTGCTCTTTATCACGCGTCGCGCGGCTCCACTGCTTATCACCGACCCGAGAGGAAGCGACGTAGAGCCCTGGTGCGAGCCCCACGCTGCAGACTCCCTGTGGGGCTCGAGTCGCGTGCCCACTCTTCTCCAGCGCCTCTCCAGCAGATGCTCCCCAGGGCTCGAGTGCGCTGCTTGTCTCTGCACTCTCCTGAGTGCTGGAATCCCACAGCTGTCAGTCCGCTGACTGGTGTCCCCTGCATCGTGCCTCAGGGCCTATGTTGTTGTGCTCGCTTTTCTCCTGATTTTGTTTTCCAGTCCTGCTTTTCTGACCAGCAGCCTTGGCTCTGTGAGGGGGTTTAACTGGTTACAGTTTAGGAGTGGTTAGGTTCCTCTTTGCCATCTGTGGGTGAAACCCTGGGCTCCGGGCGTGCGCTCCCTGTCTGACATTGTGGCTGCTCCTACATGCCTGCCTTTGCACACGCACCACACCATGTAGGGGTGCAGCTGCTGTGAAAGTGTGTGCACACAGTGCTCCATCAGGGGCGGTGCCCGAGGCTTCCGGAGTGTGGTGCCTGTGCCCCCAGAACCCAGGAACAGGTCCCCTGCCTGGAGGGCGGGTTGACTGCCCTCTTCCCCTCCTTCCGATGCCGTGTCTGGCCCTCTCTTGTACCAGCCCGATGTGCTTGCATGCGTGTGTTTTTTCTGAGTTCTCAAGCATGGAGGCTGTCTGGCTCATCTGGACAGTCAGAGCTGAGCAGAGTGCTTGGCACACAGCGCATAGCCCACAGATGGGAAACAGGATGCCGCCAGTTCTTCTGCTCATTGTCCCACTGCTTGCAGAGCCATGGCCTGTCGTGGCCTGGTACAGGGTGTGTTGCAGAAAAGGGAAAGTGATTTAATGGTCCTATGGCAGATTTTTATAACAAAAGTAAAATTCCATCTCCCTCCAGAAAGTATATTGCTGGAGAGGCTGTGGGGGAAAAGGGACCTGGTGCCACCACTGTGGAAATCAGTCTGGAGGCTTCTCCCAAAGCTAGGACTGGTGTTTTTGTTCACCCCAGCTGTTCCGCTTCTGGCTATCTTCCCAGAAGAATTAGAAACAAATCACAGCACAACTCGTGTGCACACCGTGTTTATAGGAGCACAGTCTGTCATAGGTGGCTCCTGGAAACAAGTCAGATGCCCACCATCCAAGGCATAGGTCAGAGGTTGGGGGCTTTTTATGCAATGGAGTGCTGTGCCAGAAAGAGGAAGTATGAGACATTTCTAGGCAAATCGATGCAGTTGAAGCCGTACTCATAGGAGAAATAAGTCAAACTCACACATGTAAACATCACATTGTCTCCTTGGTGTAAGAAACTGAAAGCGTAAATAAATACCACATGTACAGTAGCTATCGTGAAAGGGGAAGAAGTGAGTCTGAAGGAAAAAGGAACTAAAATGGTTGAAAGGGCAGTGAATGGAAAAGGGGAGAATTGCAAGATGTACTACTAATTTCTTTTAGTTCATTCAAAAGTTTGTACTAGTAGTTGGAGAATTTTTATGCCCATATCTTGTACTGAGTAACTGCTTTGGAGATAACAATATGAACTCCATTAGCTTTTTTTTTTTTTTTTTCCCGGTGGTACCAGGGATCAAGCTCAGGACCTTGCACTTGCCAAGCAAGCACTTATTCCACTGAGCTATCTCCCCAGCTTCCAAATATTTTTATCCTCTTTGTTTTGAAATTTTATTTTTTCATTAAATAATAAAGATATATATATACACACACACACAAAGAAGAAACCTTGTAGCGGTTTTGTTTTTGTGAGGCAGGTGGTTGCTATGTAATTCAGGCTGGCCTTGAACTATCTAGCCCAGGCTGGCCTTAAAACTCTTGGCAGTCCTCCTGCTTCAGCCTCCCAGGTGCTAGGATTACAGGCATGTGTCTGCCAGAGCCTCATGTGATCTTTCCTTTCTGCCTCAGCAGTCTGTTTCCTGACCATAAACATGCTTCTTTTGGAGTGTGTGTGTCTGTGTGTGATTCTGTCTGTGGTCACACCCAGCTGTCCAGTGTGGCAGGTAGCAGCTATTCTTCTCCCTCCCCACATGCCCAGCACTGCACCCCGGGCTGAAGCACTGAGCCACAGCCCTGCCTTTTTGTGCATTTCTTTAAATGGGTCCCCCTAGGTCGTGTGGGCTGGGCTCGAATGGGGTCCTCTGGCCTCAGCTGCATTTGTTTTCAGCAACACACAGTGACCTAAACTGCCTCACAGATTAGGCCATTGAGGTCCCCTGGCAGGGCGCTTCAGGTCGTGCTGCTGATTTGCTCTGGGAAAGTAGCCTGCAGGTCCGCATTTTGAAAACCCTCAGTTCAGAGGGTGTGCAGTGGGAGTGTTCACCCACGCCAAGCCCAAGAGCACGGGCAGCCTCTGGCGGCTATGCCTGCCCGCCCAGGGCTCAGGGAGGAATGGCGGTGTGCATGGGCTTTGCCGCCGCCGCCGCAGCAGCAGCAGTCGGAGGCGGCGCCCTTCTCCACAGGCCTGGCAGAGCCAGGGCTTGGGGGTGCTGAGCTCACAGCTCGCTCTGACTGTCACTGCTGAGCACCTGCCCTGGCTTCACACCTTCCGGCTGCACTCAGGGGAGCCACCTCGGACGAGGTACCCACTGGGTCCTGTGAGGCCTGTGGAACAGATGACTTCGTAGAAGGCTGTTCCCAGGCCTGACAGACTTGTAAAGTGGAGCACAGGCAACCGTGCTCTTCTTTGGAAGACGCCTTGTGTGGCTTAGGACTAGAATGGCTTTTCCTCCGGGGTGAGGTCCATTCTAACACACTGCAAGGCACGCTGGTCTCTTCTCAGACTCTGGAAAGGCCACCGATTTTCTCCCACTGACTTAGGAGCCCCACATAATCCACTCCCCTCCCTGCATTCCCTTCCAAGTCTGATGTTCGTACTCACCATGACGCTCAGGGTGTTCATCAGACGCAGGTCAGCGGCCCCAGGCCCTTTGCACTGGCTGAACCTCTTTCAGGATACCTGAAGACACCGTCTCGGGTACCTCAGCCTTCGGCTTACTTGCCACCTCGTGCATAGCCCTTCTCGCCCCCTGCCACATTAGCGCTCTTGCTAAAGCTCTGTTCCTGCACAGTCGCCTGCCTGATGAATGGTCTGGTGTAAGGAGTTCCTTTCATTCCGGGTTCGCCCAGGACAGGAGAACGTTCACATGGGGGATGGCAGGAGGCGCTGTGCCTGGCTGTGTGCGCGTGTGTGTCCCATGCCACAGCGTTAGTCTCCTCGGAGCGCTGCCGCCTCAGTTGGGCTGCAGGCGCTGAAGACTGCACGCTCCAGCGCAGCGCTTCCTTCCAGTGAGCCTTCGTCTGTGGGCGCGTTTCCCAGCATTCACGTCCAAACTGTCTACCACTCAGCACTTCTTGTGGCCCAGAAGTAATCCCGACAGGTCAGTAACCTCGGAGAGTTTAAAAAATGTCTACTGGGAATTTAAGAGAGCTTGTAGAAGTCAGAAACTTAGTTCAAATTTTTATTAATCCTCAACATGTTTAGTGAATCATGAGCAGGTTGTTAATCTGAATTTCACAAAGCCCAAAATTTATTTCAGAAAGGACTATAAGAAAACAAAAACAAAAACAAAAATATAAGGGCCAGCCAGATAGCTCAGTGGACTAAAGCACCTGCTTAGGCAGAGTGCAGTGGCTGGGGTTCGATACCTGGGGTGCCATGCTGGCCTGCCCCTGCTGGCATGCTGAGACGAGACTGGGTGTGGTGGCATGCGCCTGTAATCCCAGCCCTTGGGAAGCTGAAAACAGAAGAATCCTTATGAGTCTGATCTATGTAGTGAGACCCTGTAGACCCTGCGGATCCTGTCCTAAATACAGAAAAAAAAAAAAAAAAAGAAATACAGATTTTTAAAATTTCTGTGTAGTAGAATGCCCTCTTTTGAGCAATTCTGCCCTTTTAAAAAAATGTTAGATCTCAACAAATGCTTTGCGAAATTTTTCATAAAATAACATACATTATTCATTCTTGATAGAACAAATAAACTGAAGTGTCTCCAGCTTTCTTATGTACAAAAAGTAACACAGGGTATTAGGGATTAATATGTCAGAATAAATATACTGTACCTTTTAATTTATAAATAGCAATATGTATTTCAACAGCTCATTTGAATTATAGGTAAAAAAAAAACCCAAAAATGAACTACTTTCCGTGTTAAAGAATAGAATGATTTCTTGAAGAGGAGACTGTGCTGTATACTGCCTGAACTAGGCTTCCTCTTGGATACCTGTCTTAGTCGTCAGTTTTGTTCTGTTTTGTCTTACTTTGAGACCATAAGAAAATTAGCCAAATTTCTTTTCTTTGTCCCCATCCCTCAAAAATACGCTTTTGCACGTGACGTGAGGCGGCGCAGGGCTCTGCTGGTGTTCTGTCACGGTTCTCGCCCTCACTCCTGAGGACCCTGGGCGCGCCCACACGCCGCGAGTGCAGGCTGCCACGCGCTGCTGCTGCTGCTGCTGCTGCTGCTGCTGCTGCGTGTCCTGCTGCAGCCTGGGGCTGCTCCCTGAGCCCAGCTTCCTCCTCTGCACTGCTGCGTGCTTGCGGATGGTTCTCACAGAGCACGGCCCACTTCACTGCTGGTTTAAAATTCACTCTCCCGCAGAAACATTGATCTGCAGCTGACTATTACTTTGAGCATGACCTTAGATTGGTCTTGGTGTTACACTGTTCTGGCACCACCATCTTTCTGAAATGTAAGTGTTAACAATAGTTTATCTGTGATGCTTTTCTTATGTAATTCTAATAAACAATCGCAAACCTTAAACTTTAAGTTGTATTCTGGATTACAGCCACATGATATTGTTGGGTCAGAAATTATAAATACTCAGCTAAATAAATAAATCTCCATATGTTGTTCAATCAAATGCAGCCAAGAAAGAATTTCAGTGCCCAGAAATATATATACCCAGAGAACCCATGTACTCTATAAGTTAATAACATGGGTGGTTTTAAAAGGTTTGTTAGGGGGCCGGGGAGATGGCTCAGTGGAGTAAGTGCTTCCCTGGCAAGCGCAAGGGCCTGAGTTCAATCCCCGGTTCCAAAATAAATAAATAAATAAATAAATAAATAAATAAATAAATAAAATAAAAATAAAAGGTTTGTTAGAATTGCATAATTAGAATCATGCAAGAACATCATAGATAAACTGCTTTAAAACTTAGATTTTAGTAATGAAAATTGGAAAGGGGCTGTGTTCATAATGGTGCAGTACCGTTCCCTAAAAGTACACTGTTGCATCTTTTTACTGTTTCAGACGTGCATCTTCCAGCGCATTCAGAGCCAGCGCTGCTGGTTACTGTGTTACATCAGTACTTTCTTGCATGTGCTAGACGCGGTGCTTTACATCATTTTTGTTGTTGTCCTAGTCTATCCAAGGGAAGCTCTCTGAAGAGAAATCAACCACACAGATGCTGATGGAAGAGCTGCAAAGGAAAGAAAGAAGCCTCCAGAGGCTGACACAAGTGCTGCTGGAGGTGAGCAGCAGGAGTGCGGGTGGCCCGGAGGGCTGACCCACGCCTCTTGCGGGTTCAGCCAGCGCTTAGTTTGTATGAATTATCAGGACTCTTTTTAAACTGGCAGCTTGATTTTGATGTTCCAGGTAATTAAATCCTTTGGGTTTCCTAGGAAAATTAGGACAGGAGGACAAACCTCAATTGTTCTTATGTCTCAGAGGCCAGTTGTAGAGCCTTGACTCCATTCAGGTGGTTACTAGACAGACCGAGGCCCTCAGTGAGCAACAGGGCGTAAGCTAAGCACAAAATCACCCTGGTGGAGGGTGGGTCGTCGCGGGAGCAGATGCCTGTCTCGGTCGCGTGACATGAGCACGGACTTCGGGAACAAAGGTGCTCGCCAGAGCGCGTGCTCTGACTCACGTTTCAGCCATGGCTCCTGAGGAACGCATTTCAGGGGGAGGTCAGGACGTTTTCTTGAGTAACCACAGTTGTCATAGGTGGGAAGAACTGTGACCCCTTGACACTTGGTAATGCCGACGCTATGTGCAGATTGCCCACTTCGCAAATGTCTTCAGTGCCATTGCAAACAGCATTTAATCAAGGACTACTTACTGTGTTTGACGGTAGTGTTTTATAAATCCTTAGATCCCTTTATTTTAGTAGTGTGTGCTTGTGAATCATATTAGGGATTTGGCACATGTGTATATCGTGTGGTTGAAGACTGGAAGCCCATTTTTCTCCGACTTGAGGATTGTCCCCGCCCCTTGTAGCTTTGTCTGATTGTCTCTGCATGGGTGTCATTTATCTTGTTCTTCATGCTCTTGTACTTCTTTAAGCTGCACATTAAGCTAGAGACCTTGTGAAACTCGGGTCTCTTTTGGGGGCGAGAACTCATCGTGAGGGCTGTTTACTGATCAGATCATGCAGTGTCCAGTCACCTTGGGGTCAGGCTGGTCGTCGCATGGTCAAGCTGCACAGTGTCGAGCTCCGTCGTAGTTCAGCTGGCCCTGAACTCACTGTGTACCCCAGGCTGGCCTTGAACTTGCAGGAGGCCCAAGTGCTGGATTACAGTTGTGCACATCACACCCACCTAACATGCTTAGTAACTTAATTACTGCTGTCACTAGGAATAAAATTACTGAATAAGGTTGAGCATGTCATAAAGTAGTTTGTCTTTAGAATAAATCTCATTTATAGGAAAACGTGCACACAAAGCCTGGATGAGAGAAACCCACAGAAACTGAGACTGCCTGCACTTAGGCTTTTCCTCTGCGGCTTGCGCTGGGGCACCTGGGCCATTTCTGCCATCTCAGTGAGCCCTGTCCTTTCCCCCGTGCGTATGCACATGGTACCTGATGACGGACTTCTGCTCACGGATGTGGGAGCTGGCAGCCTGCGTGGCTGTGAGTACCTGTCCTCTGTCCTGACGGCTGGTGTTTTGCTCACCACAGAACCACAGACAGACAGGAGAGGGCTCTCTGCTGGGACTGGACCAGGACCAGGTCGAAGAGGCAGAGCCACCAAGGCAGCAGCCGGTGCCTCCCTCGCGGCCATTCTTGGACCTGGCAGTGATTGATCAGCTCTTCAAGGAGATGTCCTGCTGCCTGCTTGACTTGAAGGCGCTGTGCAGTATTCTCAACCAGCGGGCCCAGGGCAAGGAGCCCAATCTCTCCTTACTGCTGGGGATCAGGTGTAAGTGGCTTAGTGATTAGAAACCTGTCCTTGAGAGGCAGGAGCTCTGCCTGCCTTCCTTGTGTGCGGGGTTCCCTCCTTTCCTCCTGGGCTGTGGCTCTAGGTGTTGCTGGGGCCCTTTCCTCCTGTGATGTGACCTCCCTGCCTACAGAAAGGACGTGCCCACAGCCACGCTGTATGTGGATCCTGCATGGCACAGGCCTGGGCTCAGTCTCGGGCCTTGTGCCTGGGCAGGGGTGTGGTTTTTTGAGCAGGCCAGGGCAGCAGCCCTGGGAATCAGGGTGGTACACTTCACTTACACGTGGCCTCTGAGAACCAGATGCAGAAGGACCCTCTGGCCTGCCCAGAGCTGCCCACCCTCCTCATGTTCACCCCTGCTCACAGCTGCCGTTTCATTGATGACAGAGCCTTCCTTATCCTCAGGAGTGACAGCAGCCCCTCTGCTCCCTCCCTGCCCCTGCCTGCCCTCAGGGTTGACTGGGCCAGCTGGTGGTTAGCTCCCGGAACCCTGAGTCTTTGTGACTCCAGGGCCCCACAGCCAGACCCTGCCTTCCAACTGCACTCCAGCTGTTGCTGGAGTTCCATACTCGCCCTGGACACTCCTCAGTCCCGCCTTCCACGAGCTCCTTTGCTTCTCCCCCTGAGGTCCCAGCTTCTTTTCCTCAGGATTTGTCAAGCAAGCAGCCTTCCCCCGCCTGGCAGCTGTCCCATGTCAGATGGACATCTGTCCAACCCTGCCTGGAGGCCTCATGACTCCTATGGGAGCCCCCGAGCAGTGCAGCTGAGCACAGCCCCCTTCTCCTCACTGCAGTGCCGCCCACCAGCCCAGCGTTGATGCAGGAGCCAGGTGGTGATGACGGCCCTTCCCCTCTCACTCTGTAGCCATCAGCCCTGTCACACTGCTGTCCTTAACTCTTGGTCCTGGAGCCTTCACGTGGACTGACGTCTCTGTCACCCAGGTCCCCTCCATCCACACTGTCTGTCTAAACTGGGAGCCTGGTTTCCCAGTAGTCCCCTCCTGTGGTACAGGTAGATAGCACCTGTCCGCCTGCCTGGGGAGCTTCACCCTGGAGTTTTTCGGTTCTGTGCACTCAGTGCCTTCACTTACTCTACCTTTATGGCCCCTCTGGTGAGCTGGGCCAGCTGCTTCCTCAGGGAGGCCTGGCCACGCTTCCCAGTGGCACTTAGCCGAAGTCGAGTAGAGCAGAGAGCAAGCCACCAAGCTCAGCCTCCAGCCTGATGGCCAAACCAGAATTGCGGTTTGTTTATTAAAATACTAGCTGCCTGACAGGCCCAAGCCCTGGGCTGGCGGAGCAGGAAGGGCTCCACTGGTCCCTGCCCACGCCCGCTTTCTGGAGGGCTTCCTGGAGGTCAGGAGAGCTACTGGGGCGCCATCAGGCCCTGGTAGCAGTCACCAGCTCAGCCGGCTGCTGGGAGCTGTGGGGTCCCCACAGCCTCTCTGTGTGTCATGAAAACTGATATGCCAATCAGAAACTCACTTTGTGGTCATAAAAATTAAGATGCTTTTCAGACCCTTGTCTAAAGGAAAGGACTGAGGGCTCTAGTGGAACTTGTAAGAGACTTTAGAGGACGTTTTGTCCACGTTGAATATTATCATTCAGAAAGCCTGTTAAATTTGTATCACTCTGAATTTTATACATTTAGCTGGCAAAATTTTTAAAGGACCAAGTAGGTGATACCTGCAGTATTTAGTATCAAATGAGGACAATTTAATTGGAGCCTCACTAATACCGTGTAGCATTATGTTTCCGTGATGCTGAAGATGAAATCCTGGAAAGCAGAATGTCCGACATTCCTCTGTGCTTTATTCACACAGCGATGAACTGTTCAGCTGAAGACGTGGAAGTCGACCACAGCCCAGACACGCTCAGTAAGAAGCTGTCCGATGTGTGCCAGTTACGGAGGGACATTGATGAGCTGAGGACAACCATCTCCGACCGCTACGCCCAGGACATGGGGGACAGCTGCGTCACCCAGTGAGGCTCAGCGGAGCTGCTGCGCTCGCCTTGCGCTTCTGCCCAGGAGTTCAGCAGGAAGATGTGAGAACACGTGGCTTCCTTAGAGGGGTGCTTGTGCATCTGTGTTACTGAGGGGAAAGGTGTTGTGAGGAGGTTTTAGGGGGCTTTCTAGTCAGGCAAAAAAGTCAAGTTACCATTTAAAAGATGTGGTAGTCTACAAGAAAATGTCTGTATTCTGAAACTACCGATTGTAGGGCCAAGCTGTAAACAGTGACCTCAGAAAGGGTATAGGATTTGTTCATTCGTGGAGTTTTCTGGTGTGTGTGTGTGTGTGTGTGTGTGCGCGCGCATGCACGCGTGCGCTCTACCCACAAAATCTCTGACGATGTCAAGGGTCACAGCACAGGGCTTCTGAGAACAGCACGTACCATCTGCTCCTCCCTCCCTGCTCACTTTTCGGGGTTTCCGACGGGGCTGGCTGGAGCCAGGGGGGAGGCCGTGGCACTTGTGTCTCAGCAGTCACTGAGCAAGGCCGAGGCTTGGTGGCTCTTGGTACTGCAGGTAATTCATGTGTTACCAGGTTTAACATAATTTGAACTAATTTTAGCCTGTCCCGTAACAGTTCCAGTTTCTATTTACAGGTTAGTGCCTCACCCTGAACAAAGCCATCTGCATGATTAGTGCAAGCTTCTGGGGCGGAGGTCATCTGAAAAGACGACTGACAGTGACTGGAAACGTAGCTTCTTTATCCACATTTCAGTGTTTACAGTTCAACAGTTTTGTGCCTGTTTTGAAGTTTCAGCTGCTTTAGGAAAAAGCCAGCCCCTGCCGCAGATCTCTGTGGACACTAGCACAAAGCAGAATCTAGCTGAGCTGAGATTTTCATGCCTCGCGTGAGGTGCACTTCCTTAGGGTGGAGCTCTGCGTAGAATGTGGACTTGGCCGTTCACCTCTGGAGGACAGGGTGTGAGGCGCGGCACAGGTGACGCCAAGTGGACCCGCAGCAGCGTGGCCTGCTGCCCGCGTGCCTCGTCTGGCGCTGGCGGGGGCTCCAGAGGCTGCCCTGCGCCCGCCTGCCCAGAGTGCTCCGCGCTGCACTCCTGAGTCTACCTCACTGGGCAGGCGCTGTCCTCCGTGGGCCTTAGTCAGGGTGCTCACTTGGTTTGGAATGTCAGTCAGTGCTTAAAGACAGTAGTGCAAAGCACCAAAAAATGAGTGCAGAGGGTCCTGCCTTGCCAGTTAAGGTGAGAAGTTGGCCCTGTTCAGTAGCATTGTCCGCACCCCTGCCCACCAGCCCCACGAGGCAGCAACCCTTCATTCTCTGACAGGATCCCCGTCCTGCCAGGATTTGAGAATAAACGGACTAGTGGGCCAGGGCATCCCATTTGGGCCGGCCGGTTCTTCCTTCAGTGTCTTCTAGGTTTTCAGTTTAGGCTTAGATTTTTGCAGTGGTTGTGTTTTTAAAACAGAATTATGGGTTTTTTTTGTTTCTGTTTTGAATAGTTTTCTTTTCTGGTCTTGTTGGGATAAAATAATTTGTTGTTGTAGGTTTTCTGTCAATTACAGAATTCCCATATCTTGGGACAAAATTGTTTTGGTGTAGTAGGAAATGGATGAGGGGCTGCTGGTCTTGCAGTTCAGATGCTTGCTCTAGCCGAGGGGGGCTGAGGGGCAGTGGGCCCCGTTTGTACTCCAAATAGGATTCACTGTTTAATGTTAACAGTATTATACCGTAGGGAGATTTATTTTGGTGTGACCGTTTACTACGCTGAATTAGGCCTACATAGCTTGCTGGAGACAATCTCAAGACTGGACAGTGTTGCTAAGATGAATGTTGTCCATTTCTGATTTACTCATGAGTCTGTAGGATAATTTGTGTCGCCGAGACTCGGTGGGACTCTCAGGTGCTGCTTAAAGGGACTGGAGGGCACGCGCAGGTGTGGCCAGTTCTCCCAGGAGCAGCCACTGCCCAGGCGCTGGGCGCGTGGGCTCCGTGGCCAGGCTGTGTGGGCACCTCGGGTTTGACTTGTTGGCTTTCTCCTCCCACAGGCTCCCCCTCCAGGCTGTGGTTACAGCCACATGCCTCAAGACAGGGAGATAAGCGCTAGCTTCTGTTCGTGGGAGTCCTCTTCAGTGTTCAAAATGAGAGAAGCTGTCGCTTTTTTTATATGAAGAGTGAAATGTCTAGCTCTGCCCCAGAATGCCATCAGTGGTATTTGCCTTGTGATCATCGTATCTTTAATCATGAAGGGAAAGGACTTTGAGATCTTTCTTATTTCTGAGAAATACTATCATAGGAGGTAGTTTCTGATCAGGAAGCCTGACACCAGTGTTGCAGCTGCGGAGGGGAGAGCCTCTTGTGCCTTTTGCCTGTAGTAGGCCAGCGTCCCTCTCTTGTGGGCGCTCTGAGCGGGCACGACTCCTGCGTTGCGTTCTGCAGACGGGCCGACGGGGAGCAGCGTCCTCGAGACAGAGGGACCCACGGTGGGGCTGTGTCTGGGGACCCGGCCTTCGCTGTGGGACACGGGCTCCTTGAGAGCAGAGCGTGTCCCTGCGTGTATTTGTGTGTGTGCGTGGAGCTAATATGTGAGCTGTTCCTTAAATGCGGAGCGGGCTCACGTGGGGCGCGGCGAAGCCCTAGGTGCTGGCAGCCCGCAGCCCGCGGCCCGGGGGGCGCCGTGCCGAGGCTCGCGTCCTGAGCCTCCTGGATACCTCATGTGTACATAGTGTCCCCAGCGTGCGCGCACTGCGCTGACTGTAAAGAGGAGTGGGAGCCACTGGCTGGCTTTTGCCTTCTGACTATCATTTTTGCCTCCTCCTTTTGTAAAGGGGTTGTTTTTGTTTTGTAATAGTTTACAGCTGGAATTTTGAATGCCAAAGTTCTATTTATTAAACTAAGAAAAAATTTTCAATGTTAATGCCTAGTATTTTTTCACTGGATGATTGTTTGTTAATATTGGAATTTGTATTTACAGAGAAATAAATTTTTTTTATAAAAAGACATGTCTTCCTAGTGCCAACTGTTAATATATGAGTCTGTTTGAAACTCAGGGCTCTCTCCTGACCCCCTAAGGACAAACACGTGCTGACCAGACTTCGGCCGAAGGTCTTCCGTGAGTAATGCAAGGGGCCTTGGATGTGGCATGAAGCCTTCTGCAGCTTAGTCTGTTTCTCAGCTTGTTTTCCGCCGCTGAAAAGCCTTCCCTCAGGCCTGGCCATGCAGGGTGCAGGGCCTTTCTGACCACAGGTGTCACAGATGCAGAGTTGTAGCTATGTGCGTGTTAGCTGCTGGTGCTGAGTGCCCCTGTACAGGGCTTGGCGACACCTTGTAGGCAGCAGGCAATTCCCTGGCTTTCCAGTAGTTTCCCACGTTCCTGAGAGGTTGGGCACGTGTGTCAGCGTCCATGTACTGCGACAGAATATCCGAGAGAGGCACCATGGAGGAGGAAGATTATTTGGGCAGTTTCCGGGCCCACGGCGAGTCCCAGTGGACAGCTAGGGGAATTCAACTCAGATGCCAGAGGAAGGGGCTGGGATGGGCTCCATCCCTGAGGCCGTGGCCATGCCCCAGCCCCCCGGCTGCATTGCCACAGGCTGGAGCCCACTCGGCTGGGGGCCGGCAGCCGCCTGCATGCTGCCGCGCTGCGCACTGACTGAACAAGGCAGGTCTAAGGTCTGGCGTGAATGGGAAGTGAAGCAGGTGCAGTCTGAGAACACACGTGGTACCCGGCCAGAGAATGCGGTTTAAACAGTAGCGCAGCAGCTCCTTCCAAACAAGGACGCAAGGTGATTTCACCTTTCATTCCTACACTGACCGTCCAGTCATAAAACAAGGGGTTAAGGTTCACTGATCTATGGTGACTAAGACAACCCAGGAAGGGCCTCCTATTTGGGCGTTTGCCAATAAAAAGGGGCCTCACAACTACCCCGTTAGCTCCTGCCTCCTGGTGGGTAAGCGCTGCTGCTTTCCCCACCTCAGTCACAGAGCAGCGCAGAGGGTTACACGTGGGAGGCAGTGTCCTCGCTGGACACCTGTGTCGCCTGTCGCCTCCATGACAACCCCCTTGGAACCTTTCCTAGTGACCCCCTGCCTCTGTGACATCCTCACAGAGCTGTGTGGCACTTGGAGTCCAGGGGGCTGATGGAGGGAGCTGGCTGTGCTGTCCTGGGGGAGGAGCTTTCGCAGCTTCCTGCATGGGGCTCCGTTCTCCCATCCTCAAGGGCCAGGGCTGGGCGGGGTCCCTGCCATTGCTCGGGCCCTCTGCCCACTTTGTCCCTTTTAGGAGCCCTACGATTACCTCAGGGCCACCCTGGTAAATGGCCCAGGATTGGGGGGTCCTGGACAAGATCCCCCAGAGCCTGTGTGAGGGGTAGGTGAAAGGGTGAAATACATTCAGAAATGCATGGTGCGGGCTGGGAGGTCTATGCCTGAGGATGGGCGGAGATGGACACTCAGGTCAGCTGGGGTTACTGGGCTGTGCAGCAGTGGTGGTGTCCGATGACCAGGGGGCTGAGACCTTATGCTGAGAAGGTGGTCTGCTGAGGAGGATTACTTCAGAGGACTCGGAGGGTGCTGGTGACCTTACAGACAGCCATCTTCATGTGGGGAGAGAGGGCAGGTTAAGGAGGACTTTGTCCTTTCCCCAAGGTGAAACCTTGTTTTCATCATCACTCGGTTCTCAAGGAACCAGGACATCTCCAGATGATAAATCTTGCTCTGGGGCCTCACTGCATAAGGGACATGGAGGCTCCGACACTACAGCAGGCACGCACCGCTACGTCCCTACATGCCACGGCTGGCCGCATGGCAGGGTGCTAGGCCTGGACAAGCCCAGGCCACAGTTTAATTATGAAGTGATTCCCCCCCAGCGATTACAGAGCGCCGTCCTAGACACCTGTTTCATGGCTGGCTGTCCTGACTTTGGTTAGCTCTCCCTGCCGTAACAGATATAGTGGCCTTGGCTCATGAATGCTTTTGTGTGCAAACAGCATGGGGTGACAAGCAGAGCCACACCCATCTTCCAAGTACAAACACAAATGCCGCTGCCTTTTCTAGAGTCATAGAACAGAGTTTGTGAATGGAGGTACTGCTGTATCTGGGACAGTCAGAGAGAAGGGGTTGTGGGGTTCACTCCAGGGTAGATTTGGGCACAGCTGAGGCTGTAAATCGCGGCAGGTTTTGTGGTGGCCCTCGTGGCCCAGAAGGGAAAGGGGGAGGAGCTGGGGCAACATCTCCCCATGGCAGTATGTCCCCGCCAGGCTGGGACCCTTGACCCCCACCTCAGAAATCCCCATGCCCAGGGCCTGTGAGGGATGTCAGAGCCACCCATCCGCAGCTGCAGTCACCTGGCCACAGCCCAACTCCCATCTCTACCATGGGTCTAACAGCGGTCTAGTGTTCTACGCAGCTGAGTTAGATAGAAATAAGATAGGCAGTCAGACAGGGCCAGGTCCTCAGTGGACCCAGTAAGGAAGGTAAGATACCTGCAACTGTGGAGGAGACAGACACGCCTGCTGTGGGCCAGACCTCAAGATGAAAGAGTGAACAAATGCCCCCACAAGCCTCCCTAGGGATAGACACCAGGGACTGATACTCCAGAAGGTATCAGTCACCGTGAAAGAGCCAGGAAGAGTCACTAACCTAGTCCCCTACTGGAAGAGCTCCTGTTCTGTATTCATGCCCACTTGCTCCGTGACTGGCTTTACCCATTTGATCCCAATTTAACCTATTTTACCTGACTAATCATCCTTAGAATCTTACTGGTTGACCATAGTAGTTTGGTCCCACCTCATGCCCACCTTGGGAGTTCCCCTGTTTTCCACCTTACCACCTGCTTTTGCTCTATAAAAATCTCTTAAAAAGGTAGGGTCCTTGACAACCCACTCGGCCCCCTTCTGTCCCTCTCTCGGACAGAAGCTCTTTCCCTCATTAAATATATATTCTGCTCCTAATTTCCATTGTTCCTAAAATTCATTCTTCGCTGTTAGAGAACACGAACTCGTCCCAGGTATCTTTCAGGTTGGGAGCTTCATTCCTGCCTTCTATTTTCCACACTACACAATCCGGTGTCAACTGTAGGAGCCTTGCGTCTGTGTTGGGTACACCATTTCTACATCCCTTGCTCCATCTGACAGAAATCCGAAT